AATTCGAATTTTAAATCTAAAGCGAATATAGCTAATATAATTAATAGATTAGATAATTTCGTAAATTAAAATTATACTTATATTTTAATAATAATCTATATTATAATTAATAATAAAAATATTATAAAAGATAAAGAGTATTAAGATTACTTAGTTAATAGCTTAATATCTAAATTAAATAAAGAAGTAATAAATAAAGAGCTTAAAATTAAGTCTCTTAATTATCTCTTAATTAAAATAGTTAAATTATAAGAATTATAAGAGAATATAAAGAATTAGTTAATATCTTAATTTAATATTAATCTAAAATTAGATAATAAGATAAATTAAAAGATTAAAAATATTCTTAACTCTTTATCTAATTCTCTAGAGAACGAAATAATTAACGAATTATTATATAAATCTTTAATTTACTTTCTCTTCTATATAGTATATATAAATAATTAATCTACTATTATATATAAATAGATAATAGACTTAAGTTATATTAATTATATATTTTTTAATAAAAACGAGTTTATTAACTACTAGCTATATCGTATAAATATTATAATAATTAATAAAATTATTATTTAAATATAGAATTATAATATAGTTAAAATAAAATAGCTATTATAGAATAGATCTAGTAATATTATAAAAGTTAGTAAAGTCTTATATATTTCAAATTTTATATATAAATTATTTTCGATTAATTAAATTATATAAAAAGAATTTAAAATTATCTTTTTTAATAATAATTATTATATTTTTTAAGATAGTAAGCTTATTAATAATGTATCGAAGATAAATAATATCTATATTCTTAATATCTTATAATCTATAATTAAGATTTATATATTTATTTAGAAAAATATAAGGGTTTTAATAATAAGTTTAATATTTAATAAGAAAGCTATTAAGCTATAATATTATTAAATAGAATATTTAAATAAGATAAATTTTAAGAAATTAATTAATATAAGTAAAAGTATTATATTAATTTAAAAATCTCGAGTTAGATTAATATATAAGGTCTATTTTAAGACTAAATCTATATGAAAGATTTTAAAAAAAAATTTAATACGAGATACTTAAAAAATTTAATAAGATTTATATAGATTTAGAGAGAAAAATTAATATATTATTTATTAATAGAGCTAAATATTATATATTTCTAATTAATTAATTAACTTTTTAAATCTAATACTTTATATATAAATATAAAAATAAAATCTTTAAGTTATTTCGTAATTGAAAAATTTAAATAAAAAATAAATTCGATTATAAGGTTAAGATAGTTCGTTTAAATAATAATATCGAATTTATTAATAATAAATTTAAAGAATATTTTAAAAACTTCGAAATTATATAAAAGTCTATTATATTCTCTATATCTAAATAAAATAAATTTAGCGAGATATAAAATCGAATTATTATAAATAAAGTAAGGGCTATATTTTTTAATTCGAAGTTATTTCGCTATTTATAATTAAAATTACTTTATATTAAAATATATTAAAAGAATAGAAGTTCTATTACTTATCTTTAGAGTATAATATTATATAAGATATAAATAAATGAATAATTATATCTTAATTATATAAAGATTATCGACTATATAATTTAAATATATATATTTAAAGAAAAGTATAAAAAGCTCGATAAATATAGTAAGAAGTGTTATCTAATTAATTATAAAGATATAAATATCTTTTAAATATAAAATTTAATTACTCGATAAGTGAAATAATTCTTCTATATCGATTTTAATAAATTATAAATAATAATTATAGCGGTCTCGAATATAGACTATTAATTAGTCGAGATTATTAATAATAATATAATAGATATATTTAATATAGAGAATAACTCTATAGTATATTAATATATATCTAAGATTGTTATTAATATCGATATAAGTCTTATTAATATAAATAAAATTAGAAATATTCTTTTTAATAGAAATATTAAAGAAATCGAAGAAATTAAAGATATAGAAGATAGTAATATAAATCTAGAAAAATTTAATAATAAAGATATTAAAGAGATATCTCGAGATAACTCTATTACTTATCTAGATTTATATCTTAATATAATATATAATTCTTAATTAAAATAAACTTCTATATCTTTTTAGAAAGTTCTTTTAAATAATAAATGAAGTAATATTAAAATATAAGTTTAGAGAGTTATTATCTATATTAAATATAATAAGACTCTTAAATCGAAACGCTTATACTATAGGTAAGTTATATTAAATTATAAAAATTTAGATTATTATAATTTCGATCTTATCTTTAATTTTACTATTACTATTTAATAAATAGTTAATATAAGATATTATTAAATTATAATAGAGATTAATAATTTTAAGTTATTAATCTATAAATAGATAATAGCTAGCTTTTATATTAAATAATAAAAAAAGACTATAGATAAATAGATATAATCTTTTATTATAATAAATATTTAGAAGTTTATTTTAAGAATAAAGAATATGCTAATTCTTATTAATAGATAGATCTATAAGATAAAGAAGAAATTTAATAATTCTACTCTTTATAAAGTACGCTAAATAAATTAAGATTTTAAATAAATCTATAATATTAAATATAATTAATTTTTTATCTTAATTATTAAATTTATATTATTTAAGATATTATTTAAGATATTATTTATAATCATAGTATATTATAATCTAGACTATAAGTAAATAAATATTATTATTATATTTCTTAATATATTATTAAAGAAAATTATTTATATAAAATAATTTAAAGAGTATAAAAAGAAGAATAATAAGATATATCTATTATTTAGAATATTATATAGTTTAAAGTAATCGCTATAAGAATAATACTTTACTCTATAAGACTTTCTTATATTTAAAGAATTTAAATTTATTAAATTCGATGATTTACTCTTTATTAATAAGAAAATATAACTTATCGTTAATATATATATAAATAATATTTAAATTTATAATCTAAAAGAATTAAAATAAATATCGAAACTTAAATAAGACCTTTATAAGTAATTCGTTATAATCAATCTTAGATTATACTTATACTATTAATATATATAAAAGAATAAGATAGAATTAATTAGAAAATCTTGAATTTATATATATAGTTAATTATAAATTTAAGGTTATTACGCCTTTTAACTAGACCGACTAAGTTATCGCGAGTAAATAAATTAGCGTTCGCAACTATTAAAACCTCGCTCTCTTACTTCTCCCTTATTAAAAAAAATAGATATATATTATTACCATATAGAATAACTTTTTTGTTTTCCATTAAAATTTTGAGATTTTTTTTAAAATTTTAAAACGTCGTTTATGCTTTCCGAATTTTTAATAATCTTAAAATTAAGTCTTATAATTATTAAAGCGTAAGGAATTTAAATATCGCTTATTAAAGTTCGCTCGACAGTCGGATAGCTCTAATCAGATATACATTATTTAATTTTAAAATAACTTTTTTAGTTTCTATTAAGATTTTAGAATTTTTTTTTTTAAATTATAGAACGGAATATAAGCTTTTAGAAAAAAAAGAATTATTAAATTTAATCCTATAATTATTAAAGTGCAAGGAATTCAAATATCGCTTATCAAAGTTCGCTTATCAAAGATCGCTTACCTACTTACTCGACAGCTCTAATCAAAAAAATGATTATAAATTTAATTTATAGGCCTTTACTCGTTTAGATATAAAAATTTAGAGAAATTATAAAAAGAGAATCGTTCGAATTATTTAAATAACGTATTTAAAGAAAATACTTATACGATTTAATATAACTAACTATATATCTATCTTTATATTAATAATAATAGATATTTAATTATAAGAGAAACTAGTCGATAAAGCTAAATTAGAAATTATTTAGAAATATTAATTAATAATAAAATCGATAATATATCCTATAATTTAGACTCGTCTAAATATCTATTTTATTATTATAATTCTTTCTCGATATAATTATAACTTTAATTTAAAATATATTATAGCTATTAAATAAGTTATTCGTTATTTAAAGAAAATACTAACTTATAATATTATATATAAAATAATTAATATATTAGAAGATTATATAAATACTAATTAAGTCTTAAATTAAAAGATCTATTAATTTTTTAAAGTCTATATATTTTTACTCTATAATAGAATAATTAATTAAATATTAATATAATAATAATTTATTATACTATTATCTTATAAGATTAAATATATAATTTAAATCTAGATAATAAAGAAAGCTATTTAATTAATTAGACTTCTAAATAAATTAAATATTAACTTTAAATTATCTAATAGATTAATATTAATTAAAGTAGATAATTAGATAACTATTATATTAATTAAGAACTCTCGCTTTTACTTATATATTAAGTATATTAATATTTAATAATATTTTATATAGAATTAAGTGAAAATAGAAGTAATTATATTTAAATAGATATTTATTAATAATATAACTATAAACGAACTTATTAAAGCTCTTATTAATAATAAATTTACTATATTTATATATTAAATTAAATTTAAAAAGAGTAAATAGAAGAAATAGTCTAAATTTAAATTATATAAGAGTATTAGAATTAATAGTATTTCTAGTTATTATTTAAATTATATAGAAGTATTAAAATTAATTAATAGAAAGCTAGTATTTCTATATATTACTAAGTTTTAAATAGATATTATAACTACGTCTTATGGTGGTAAATAGTCTTAGTGTGACTTCACACCATAGATAGATAATTACCTCCATCCTTACTATATACTTCTTCATAGAATATAACAATAAACAATTATTCCACATGATATGAGACCATTGAGTGCATATCATTTCCAATACTCCGGTCTAAATACACTGGAAATCAGTCTCTATCTCTGTACTTCGTAACTTCCATCCGATTATAGCGAGCTAACAAGCTTGGTGGACCCAGACTATTACCGCTCCAATCAAGCGGGGCAATTACCAATCCTCGTAACATAATAGAAGCGGAATTCTATGTCTCAACTCTTGACCTTGCGAGCCAATAGATCCACAGCGACCATGTCTACCACCATATCTATATTCGTTCTACGATCCAGCAGCATAGCAAATGAGACGTCAACACCAAACGTTCGGACCATGTCTCCCCGGAATTCGGCTGCCAGCATGGACTCAACTCCAAATTCTGCCAAGTGCATATGCTGTTGAAGTTGAGCCGGTGGAACCAGTAGCAGGGTAGCAAGTCTCTCTGTCACGATTGCCAGAATCGCGGTGAGCAATGTTTCATTGGGGACGGCATTTTCCTCGCAAGATGTAATACCGGCGGCCACGCTTTGAGGAAGGCCATTATCGGTCTGGCTTTCGGCACCTTCACCATGGTCCGAGTCGCTTGAATTCGCAAATTCGCCAGCAATGATGGCACATCGTGGGTCTTCAAGGACCTGTGTCCCCCGCTTGAAGCCTTTATCTCTGATGGTCTGGAAGCCATACAGCTCAAGGCCGGTGAGCAAATGAGCTTGGCCATAGTGATTCCCAGCGAGGCCTTGATCGAAGTCAGAAACCAGCTCTTCAGGTGGTGGAGTAAGGGCAATATCAATGATCTGGATCAGTTCGTCTTCTGTGAACGGGTGAACACCTTTCCGCAATAGCGCGGCTTCAATGTCGGGGTTCTCGTGGAGAAAGCCGATCTCTGAAATCATACCCAAGCCGAGTGATGTCGCCGGTAATCCATGGCTGCGTCTATGACCCGCAAAAGAATCAAGGAAGGCGTTAGCAGCGCAGTAGTTGCTTTCTGCGGCCGTGCCGATACTCCCAGTGATGGAGCTCAGCATGAGGAAAAATTCGAGACCGCTATCTCGTCCTCGAAGAGCGTTGTGCAGGTTCAAAGCGCCCTGGACCTTCTGATTTATACCCTGATGCCAGGTGGAAATTGGCATGTTTGTAAACAAGGAGACCTATGGCAATGCTCAGCACTCCGCTAGTGGTCGGTCAATCTGGGTCCTCACATGTATACCCATTGCAGCATGCACAACGCCACCTATAACTCGACGTGTAGCTGCAATCGTCTTATCAACATCTCCAAAAACTGTGACGTCCCCACGGACAACTATCACGTTAGCACCAGCTGCCTCAAGATCCTGTACAAGGTTTTTTGCGGATGGCCTATCGGTTCCGGATCGACCTAGGTATACGAAATTTCGCATTCCACGCTCCAACATCCAACGGGACATGCTTCGACCTAGCCCACCAAGACAGCCGACTAATATATATGCCTTTTCGTTGCTGAAGGTAGAATGGGATTTGATAGGAAGAACCTGAGTCGCTGTGAGTGATGAAACTTCATCTCCAACACTCGTTGCTTACCTGTATCTGTGTCTGGAGATCTTCGAAAGAGATGGCGACTTTTCCTAGACGAGTGCCGAGAGCAAAGTATCGGAAGGCTTGCACGACTTCTGAGGCACTGAAGATCTTCAACGGCTTAATTGCCTCAATATCACCTATCCTGAGTAAACGAAGTGTGCGGATCAAAAGGCTGTTGTTGACAGAATTAGCCATCTTTTCATACGGGGATCCCCTGAGGGCCCACTTACTCTGCCCAGATCTGACGCTTAGCCTTAGATTTGGACCAATAAAGACTGGTCAAATCAAAGGCCGTGATGGTGACTCCTCGAGAGAAGATTTGCTTGTCCAAGCTTCCGTACTCGGATGAAGGCATTTTGCCAACTTCCACAAAGCGGCCAAATTCTGCACATAATTGCAAGCTATCTTGAAAGGCATCTCCAGTCAGGGAATTCAAAACCACATCAACACCCCGATTCTCTGTTGCGGCAAGAATACCAGAACGGAAAGATGAATTGCGAGAATTGAAAATATGGTCCTCTGGGATATTGAACTTCTCGACCAGAAACCGTTTCTTTTCGTCTGTGCCAACAGTAGCGAAGATCTATACAGTATCGTAAGAATGAGATGAACATGCTGAAGCTTGTCTGACCCACCTCGGCACCTTTGAGTTGTGCAATCTGAACAGCCGCCATTCCAAGTCCACCAGCCGCGGAATGTATCAGAATCGTCTGCTTCCTATTAGCGCAACCCCAATCGCTTGATCAAATCGAGGCCTACTTCTCCTGATTGTAAGGAGACACGATCTTCCAAAGCGTAGAGTGCAGTCGAAAAAACAAGCGGAACGGTTGAGAGTGTCTGCGGTCTCAAGTCAGACAGAGTTTTAAGCTGAACGCGCCACAACATACAGTAAATTCCTCGTGAGGTTGCAGCTTGCAGCATGCAAACTCCGGAACCCATTCGTAAGCCGCAAATTGAGAAGGTGCCATTACAACTATTCTGTCGCCCGGCATGAACTTTGAATTGTTGGAAGCTGTTCTGGTCACTATCCCACTAAACTCCAACGCAAAGGTAGAATTCTTAGTATCTGTTCGGCTGCTGACAGCATAATAGCCCTACACAGGTGTCAGTGCTTGCCCGTGAAGCAATCCAAAGGATCAAGACCTTAGCGTTCAGTCCAATAGCCTTTACTTGCACTTCCAGGTTTCCCTCTGGTAACTCACTAGCAGCCGCCGGTTGTTGCTTGAAATGAAGGGTGTCTATTTGTCCAACATCTCGAATATTGAGCTGGCAGTTGCCGGCTGACTCAAGCGACTTCGAGGCGAGCTCGGCGTTCTTTGTCTGTCGGAATTGTTGATTTACCAGGCGGTCCGGAGTAAGACGGCTAATATGCAAGACCCCATCCTGCTGCCGATACTCGGACTCGGGGCTGGGGCTGTGCATTGCCTGCCTAAGCACGAGTACAACGTTTTGAGCTGAAATAGCCAAGTCAAGAGTCGTATTGTCCAAGTCCAGGACTGGCATTTTCAATGCCGGTCGTTCTAGCATCACTGTCCTAGCTAGACCCAGTACGAGCGCAAATAATGGGCGTTGGGCCTTGAAGAGGGCTCCACCTGTTACCCAGAGAAGTATTGACGCATTTTCGATCATGCGCTTGACCATTTGCATTTGATGGTCGGTCATATCTGCTAGGAGAGGCTCTTCAAGTTCAAGAGTTGTAATAACAATAGAGCCCGGTGCTACAGTACCCAATGGTCCCTCATTTAAAGACAATTGCTGGACGTCAAATCCAAGAGCTTCGGACAATGTCGCAGCAATAAGATGATTCAAGGGATTGTCTCTATTTGCCACGACCTATAGATAGAACGTCGTGGTTAGTCTTCCTTACGCTTTCAAGAATACCCAATTTCGATGCGCTTACCATTATATAGTTATGTTTGCTAGATTCGAACAGTGTGTGCAATCTTTGAGACGGTCTTGCTATGCTTATGTTCACGTCCGAATCTTCGAAATCTGTGTGCAGTATGTCGAGAGGCTGCTCAAACAAGGATGGATCAAAAGAAAAGCCTGTCGTGAACACAAATATGGTATTCACGCTTATGTTGCTAGATAAGTGATCTAGGTACATATCGAATGTGTCCGCAGTATCCTACGCACACTACGTCAGCGGAATATATATACTTTCCCAGGGGGACCCACGGATGTCACAATCACGATGTCATAGATCGATTCAAGTTTGCATGGCGTGAAGTCGATAACTCTCTCATCAGCTGCGAGATTGCCTGCAACCTCGTGACTCGATAGCCCTCCGGTTGGATCGAGGGTACACTTCACGTACGATTCGAATCGCTTCTGCGGTGGTCCGATACCTATTATGTTTAAGAGACCCGCTAATCGACTACTAGCAGTACTGCTGAGCTCAAGGATGCGCATTCTCGGATTCTTGTGTACTAACAGGTCTATAGCTGCAGCTATCCTTGGAGCTTCTGGGCTACCTACGTCCACTGGAAGTTGCGAGGCGAAGCTTCTAATGCATTTTGTAAGCTCTGGCACACACGTACTCTCAAATGTGGAGATGTCCGGTTTCCAAAGGATCCTTAATGCTGGATGACGTTCCGCCACAGTCCCCTTGTTTAGCAAGCTGTCCACATAGGCAACGACTCGAACGCCACTCATCTGCATCAGATGCTGACCTGTACGGCTCTCAAAGTCTGCGCTTAGTATCGCAGTCCCGAACCCCACGCTCTCAGAAGACCCCCGGATGGAAAAGTCATTTGATGCATCCAAACGTATTGCGGCTGATATCTTCAAGCAGTCAATTAGAACTGGAATCTTGCTGCGCAGTTCACCGACAGTCCCAGACGCCGAGGCTATAATTCCAGCTTGTAGCATTGCATCGATATTCACTGGGTGCACAATGTAGCTCGAACGTTGACCAAAAGGCTTATCGTTTTTCTGAAACAGAATCGTCTTTGCAACAGCACATGACATCTTTTTTGATCTATCAGTGAAGATCTGCGACAATGATCTGAACGCCGGCCCGAAGCAAAGCCCTTCTCGATTCAACTTATCATACCACGTCCGCGAGGCTTGCTCTTCGAACGAGTCCTCCGAGAATTTGGTTTTCGGCTTCATTGGAGAATCATCAGTAGAGATTCTGATGGAGCCGGTGACGTGAAGGGTTGAAACATTTGCAGCATATGAGGCGATTTCAAAATCCCACCATGAATTCGATGATGTGATGCTGGAGGGGTTATTTGGCTTGATGCTCGTGAAAATTTCGACGCCTTCCTTTTCATGAGGCAAGACTAGAAGGCTTTTCAGATGGACTTGCTTAAACAAAATGGACGAGTAATGAGAGGCTTGACATTCCTGCAGTAAAGCCTCGATCGCCATCGCAAGATAGCCAGCTGCAGGAAATACTGTCGTCCCCCCCAACCTGTGATCTTGAAGCCAGGGTGCTTCATTCATCCTCAAAAGATTTCTCCATGATGCTGTGGTCTTCGATCCGCCAGGGACTCTGGAGCCGAGGAGTTCGTGGGGGCCAAAGGCTCTCTGGCGGTACTCTGAGCTGACACGACTTTCTTTCCACATTATAGGTCCATAATCCCAGGAGTAGTGGGGGAGGTTTGATAAGACTCGAGGCCTTGAAGGCGACTGGCAGAAGTCGGAGTCTACTTCATTGACGTTCTCGAAGATAGGCTCATGACCATGCAAGTAAATATCGCCTACCAGCTTCAGCATGGATTGTTCGTCATTCTTATAGCGAGAAAGAGTCGAAAAATAAATTGCAGACGTTTCGGCTTTGTCTTGAACGTCGCGCACAGGTTGGCGAAGAGCAGGGTGTGGGCCGACCTCGATCAAGTGATGCTCATCACTGAGCAAAAGTTCTTCCAAAGTGTCACTGAAGAGTACAGGCGACTCGAGGTTTTTTCGCCAGTATTGAGGACTGATCACCTCACTCTTACTGACCACCTTTTGCAAAACACAAGAGAACATCTTTACAGTTCCGTTGGCGCAAAGATCCGCATTCTTTCCTAAGTTGAGCTCAGACAAGAGAGCCTCGTATCGATGACCGATGACTCTCATAGCGGGCGAATGATAAGCTTTGTCATCAGTCTCCAATCTGCGGGCAAATATTCCTTGATCTTGCAAAACTAAGAACAGCTGTTCGACTGTACTGACGTTACCACTTATGGTAGTACTTTTAGGAGAGTTGATACACGCAATGCAGACATTGTCCTGTATATCGAGACTCGAGATTAGCTGTTCCGCGGATTGATGATCTAAACCTACAGCAAGCATAGCACCTTTGCTGTCAAGCTCTGAAGCAGTGAGCCCTCGATAGTAAGCAATCATTATGGCTTCTTCGGCTGTCAGATATCCAGACGCAAACGCAGCCGCAATCTCACCTAAGGAGTTGTCAGGTTGAATCTTAGAGAAGGGAAAGACAGGTTCCTACCAGACGAATGGCCAATGACTGATTTTGGTCTTATACCAAACTCTTTCATGAGGGTAACAAGCGCTACTTGTATAGCTGTGCAGACAGTCTGGGAATGAGAAGCTCTGTGGAGCTGGCTTGTCGAAGTTTGCTCTAAGATTGCGTCTTGCAACACCATTAGCCAAACATATGATAAAAAAGGGGCCGTATTAACCTTCAATCGACCACGTCGGTGGATGACAGGAACGTGAAATGGCTGTATCGAGGTCTTTGATACATTGACGATAGCAGGCGAAGCGGTCTAGAAGCTGCCTACCCATCTCCGGATATTGGGTTCCTTGACCATTGAAAATGAAAGCCAAAGACCGAGGCGAAGCATCTGTGGACGGACGTAGTATTTGAAGATCGTGATCGGAACTGTTGAACAAGCTGCTTGGATTGACAAGCATGTAGCCGCGGGTCGGGAATCTAGATCGGCGGGATCCTAGGGTGTATGTAAGATCAGTGATGTTTAGGTTAGTCAATCCAGAGCTGGCGACGGCTTTAACGTTCTCCTGCAAAGATTTCAAGGTTCGAGCCGAGAAGGGTAAGAGATATGTGTTGGAATTATCGGCTGTGTGAGGAGTGGATCTATAGGCCTCGGGAACGTGAAGACTCGCAGACTCAATTATGGCATGTGCGTTCGCTCCGCCATACCCAAAGGAATTGACACTGGCTCTCGGTGTTACTTCTTCTGGCCATTCGGTAGAGGTAGTAACGACTTCAATATTTCTCTCCTCGAGCTTGAGTTCCGGGTTGAGATGACGAATGCCGATGGTGGAAGGAATAAGTCGATTTTCAAGTGCGAGGGCGACTTTGATGACACTCAAGATGCCGCTCACGGCCTCACTATGGCCCAGATTGGTCTTGACAGAGCCAATCATTGTAGCGCGACCAGATTTGTGCTGCAGGACGCACGAAAGAGCCTCTACCTCAATAGGATCGCCTCTCGGAGTTCCTGTTCCATGAGCCTGTAAGTGAATCATTAGTATACGGTCACTGAAGCAAGACATAAGTCTTTCGAGAGTGGCATGCCTCTACGTAAAGAGTGTCATCTGTAGGTAGACCCGCCGCAGCATATGCCTTACGAATGACAGCTGCTTGTCCAGATACGCTTGGTAATGTGATGCCTGGTGTGGCACCATTACTACTCCCCATAATGAATTAGCTAGACCATTATCGCCTATCGATGAAGTTGCACCACTTGCCTGTTTACTGCTGTCCCGCGTATTACGCCTCTGATTGGGTCGTTTTCCCGAATGGCATCGCTTAAGCGCTTTAGATATAATGCACCGATACCTTCGCCTCTTCCATACCCATCAGCAGAACTGTCGAAAGTATGTGAGGTCGAGCTTGCTGAAAGAACTCCAGCCTTGACCATCGCTATGTATGATTCGGGTGATTGAACCAAGTTCGCGCCTGCAACAACTGCTGCGTCACATTCTTGAAGTCTTAGCCCTTGACAGGCTGTGTGCAATGCATAGAGTGATGAAGAACAAGCAGTGTCCATTACAAAGCTGGGTCCTTTCAGATTGAAGACATGACTGATCCTGTTTGCAAGAATTGTAGGCCCAAACCCAGTAGCACTATATCGATGGAAAGATTCTGGACCTTTTGCCTGCATGGTAACAAAATCGGTGGTAAAGTTGGCAACATAGCAGCCAACGTTGGTACCAGAGAGATTTTGGATAGTCGCGCCAGCAGTTTCAAAGCATTCGAACACCACTTCGAGCAATTGTCGCTGCTGAGCATCCATGTAGCTTGCCTCAAGGTTATTAATGCCAAATACGGCATTTTCAAAAAGGCGGACATCATCTTCAATGAAATATCCTCCTGTTGAATGGATACTCCCCGGAAAATCGGGATCCTTATTGAAGAATGCATCCGCGTTGAAACGTGATTTGGGAATCTCGCATTGACCAGAGCGCCCAGACTTCAGTAGATTCCAGAGCTTGGACGTGTCTGAAGCCCCGCCGGGTAAGCGACATCCTTTGGGAAACCATTAGCAGATATTCCTGACAAAGGAGTAATCGACAAACCAATTCCTACAAGAGCAATTGGCTCCATGATTCGCTGAGTAGGACGCTATGTATGTTCTGAATGGATCCTAATGCAACGTCTGGACAGTTGGTCAAAGTTCTTCTGACAGGTATCAGCGCTGATATCAGACTATTTGAAGTACCTGAGACGGTGGGGAACAAGACTTGGATTCTTATCTACACGTTGCTTCAGCTATTAATCTGTCAGCTACCCGGAAACCCGCCACTGACTCATAAGATCAGTTTCATAAAATGCTTAATGCCGCTGCCGAATCTTATTGAACAATAGCAAATTGGGGGCAAAACGCCAGAGCGGCTGAGTCTTTGGTATCAACCATCTTCACTTGAATCAGCATCTTTGCCCAAATCAACTATGGGGCAGTGAATCTCCTAGCCCAAAGATGCATTCCCGTGGCACGGAGAGACTCGTACAACTGGGCTGTGTGCATGAGGCGTGATTCTTTAGCGAAAGAACATAGGTCGAAGCACCTCCAGAAGAGAATGAGAGGGTGGGTGAGTGGAGCTCACCGAGGCTTACTTTTCCGCACGCCACCTAGGTACAGAGTTGAGACGGCAATGATGGTCATTTGTGTCATCTCCGCCGCTTACTAGATTTTCAGCTGGTCATGCACCTCGCGCCCACGATTCCAGTTCCAGCCTCTGGACAGAGGTGACTGTAGAAGGGTGACTGTCCGGAGTCAAGTTCGGCGTAAGCTGCAGCTGCGTATGTTGATCACGTCGAACGCTTACTGAAGCTGCAGCTCGATCGCAAGACTTATTAATTCAGTTGGCCACGTCGAAGGATCCAAATTCAGTCGCATGTGGGGACCCGACTTGCGGCTCGTTGCGATTGGTCGGTAGACGCATCTGTAATGCTTACTTTATTCGTCCCCGAGGTGTAGCGTCCGTACGGGGCTTCATGCAGCTTAAACAACACAGTAAGAGTAGCGATTGGAACGGTCTCTCCGGTGATCTTCGACTGTCCGGATATTGAAAACCGGCCTGAGCAGGTGGGGTCAATCCCTGCATTTCTCTGCTGCTGCCATTCCTGGCCCATCTCCGCTTAAGTGTCACACCATGAAGAGAATTCTGGTTAGCTATGATATCAACGTGCATGTTTCCGTCCGCCTGTTCTCACATTCCCCAATACAAGGGTGTTCTCTGCGTCGCTATCGATCGCCGTGGACACCAGCTCCTGCGTTTGAGAGCTGACCAATAATCCATACTCTAAATATCTCGATCCTATGTGCTTCATTATAGAGATCAAGACCTAGTAGTTTTCGCAAGCGAGAGTGAACCATCAATTATTGCTGCAGATAGTATCTATATTCCAACCAGCTAGTCTCTCTAGATAAGCCGCTGACCGTAGGTGGCAAATGACTTTGATGCCGTTACTGTAAATCCAGATGGCTTCAGCAAATATCTCATCAACTTCATGTTTAAGACGTCTCCACAAAGCTCCTCACACCTTGTACGAGCTTCTGCTGCGCAGATTGGAGCCCCACTTGTATAACACCCAAGGAATGGGGAGAAGTAAGATACTAATGAACCCCAAGAGGCTGCCAGCCCAAGCAATACCGAGTCTTGAGTACATTTGAAAAGTGAAAAGGGGGAAGATAGCACCGAATGTATAGCGCAAGAGACCATTAGCAGCTAGTGCAGAGGCGGAATACTGTGCTTTATACGTATCGATTAAATAGGTGGTGGTGCCGAGCTTTGGCACGCATTAATGCTTAGCTAGCGTTGTATAGGTCAGAAAGAGTAGGATTGCACTTACAAATAGACAGACATTGCCCCAGCCAAAGGGTATCCCTGCAAGAATGGGAACGATCCAATGAATAGAGGCTTTCGCGGTCCAGGCGAACCTTCCATAAATATTAGAGGGTCCAAATCAATGACATTCGAAAGAAGTCGTAACGTACCAAAACAGAGATACTGGAATGCCAACAGATCCAACCATGGAAACATAGAGCCTCTTCTCCGGCGGAGGTAGTATTCCAGGCCCAGCCTCCTTCCTGGATTTTTCAAACAAGGTCTTATTGATTACAATTGAAGTGAGGACTGCGAACAAAAACCCAATGACAATGCTCACGAATGCCAAACCAACTTGACCGAGACTAAATGCGTAGACAGATTGAAAAACATACGGGTAAGCATCGAAGAAGGCAAACATGACGCCGAAAACAAACGACACGTACAAGGATAAAGAGCTCACAATAGGCTCTATAATCAGCATTCTCAATGGACGAAAAAGCGTTATGACAAACAGAGCCTTTAGGAAAGCTGTAGTTGGTGGTTTTGGTGGTGGTGTATGACCTCGCGCAATCGCTCGACGGCGGAGCAATTCCTTTTTCGATGTTTCACTGACGACGAGAGCCATCAACCACACGGGCCCTGCCACCAGGATCAGAACCCACATGAGCCATTGCCAATCTTTCCTCGTGTCAATAGTATAGCCGCCAATGAGGGGACCAATTGCCGAACCCGCAAATGGCGCTAAAACGAAGAGTATGGTGGCAAGGCCTCCAGCTCCGCGTTGGAGGTTCCAGATGTCTGCTATCGTCCCAGCACCGACAGCTACAGCTGGAGCGCCAAAAGTTCCTGCGAGGAAACGGCACACCAATATGGTTGCGAAATTTTTGGCGAGGCCCGTAGCCATTGTGAACAGGATTGAGACAGGCAGACTGATGAGATAAATTGCTCTTCGGCCAAAGGTTTCTGAGATAGGCGCCCCAATCATGGGCCCAAATGCTGGTGATACTGTCAGAGAACCATCCGTGGGCTGACCTCTCAAACTCACCTAGTCCTTCCGCAAATAGACTGAATCCGAGCACTGCTGCAGTCCTGCTAACGTCGAATTTCGAAGATATTTGGGATATCCCGGGAGTGTAAACTGAAGCACCGAGGAGCCTGAGGTACGTAAGATTTCGAAATTTGCAAAGAAGTCAAGGAAGTTACACAGTGAACGCATATAGCGCTGGTACCATCGTTGCATAGATTTTTTTGGCCGAGCCCCAGTTTTGGGGATTTCCAGCATCATCTGGACCGTCCCAGTCGGTGATGGTAGCTTGGGGTTTCGGAGAAGCCTTGTGCCTTCCTTCTTCAAGGGACGGTGGGGCTTGTGACGCTGAAGCTTCATCTTTTGCTGGCTCCTAAAACTGTACTTAGCTCTGAGGACCCTAATGGACGAAAGCTTCTGTGTCTACCATTTTTCTTAAGTTCTAGACCGGACTATGGCTCTTGAATTGTGTTCGGTTCATGAAAGATGACCTGGGTCAAGATCTCAAACGCTTAGCTCGCTATCTTATAGAGTCAAGCATTCGCGCCGGTTGAGGTTTGAAATCATGCCCGGCTCCCAGTAGAATTGTAGTAGAATGCGCCCCGAGACAGGGAAGCTGACATGCAAACCTGAGACGCCAACCGCATGGATTGAATGACCACAGCATGAGATCACAGAAGGATGTGGGGACAAAGACGGCGTCGAAAGCGGTGCGGGAAAGATGCCGGATCGTGCCGAAAGGCTGAGAGCTCGCAGATCTTATTGTTGTCTCCTGCATTTGCGGTAGCACTGCCATTGGTCCTATTCGCGCCAGAGAGATGATCCACCCGCATTTACCTAGTACTGTAGGTAGCAGTACTCTCCGATTTGTGCGCGAAGTGTCCAGATTTATCGCGATTGAAATGGCACCCAAACAGCTGAAACCATTGGCTCAAAACTTTGTTAGCGTCATAGTCTTTGCTTCTCAGCCATAACCCGCTTGAATGGCACCGGTCAAGGTTACTCAATTTGTCACCGTCCAGCGCTGATATCAGCACACCATGCAAGCCATTGCTTACTGCATAAGGGCTGTGTCAATTGACGGTTGGGAGGTAAGAGTTCAAGGCAGGGAGGTGCGGCAATAAAACGGCACGGGGGCTAATTTAGCGTCCGCCAGCTGATTACCTACCTACTTCCGGTGTGTGCGCCTTTTTACGAATCCTGCACACTTAGAAGGGTCCACCCTCTTCTCGCTCGTACCTCTTCTGGTCGATCTCTATGGGACTGACTCCCGAAGCCCTAAATCCAGCTCCAGGTAGGTTACTTTCAGAGCCTGTCCCTCACTTTCCACAATCTGAACTCTAGGCGAGCATGAATGAACTTTTACATAGGAATCCGGTTCTCAGTACGCAAAATGAATGAATCAAAATCTACTTACCGTACTGTCGTGAAAAGCAGCCACACTGCAAGCTTCGCGTAGCCTTATTCTATCTTCATAGTACCCGCTTATAGGGGCGCTAGGAAGGGTGGACCCGTTCTAGCGCACCCTTGCCAGGCAACACCATTGAAACTGCTGCATATCGTCCTACGGAGGTCGGCAGCAAAAGTCCTGCCCCCGCCAAGGTGCAGCCCTATACCTTGGCGGGGGCAGGACTTTTGCTGCCGACCTCCGTACTTTCGCCGGAATTTTTTTTATGGCCGTGGACCTAGTGCAACAATCCTCACGATGTCGGAACCATCTAGGGATGCGTAATGACTGACATTTGATCTTTATAATAGTTATTTAACGATTATAGACTAATATTTCTTTAATATAATATATAATACGCTAGTTTAATTAAATTAGATTTTAATCAATATAAGATTTAAGTAAATTTTAATTGATCTTATATTTTCTTTTAAAGTACTCGATATTTATTAATTACTCTTATTTTTATATTATTATATAATTAATTAAAACTCTATTATCGAATATAGCTAGACGCGCGATATCTCTATCAAATATACTTATCTATAGTACTTTCACATAATTTATTAATTAGTAAAAGAAGAAGAAGCGAGTTCGCTATCGATATTACTAGAAGAATTTAATAAAGTATATCTTATATTAGCGAGATTATCTTATAAAGTATAAGATATATCTAAATATTATAAAAGAGTAGAAATATATTAATAGTATTATACGTAAAGTAGCTATCGTAAATAATAAAATATAAAGATCTCTCTTTAATAATAATTCGTCGCTTTCTTATAAGCGTAAGTAATTAAATAAGCTAGCTATAATAGCTATCTACTATAAAGAAAAATTATTAAATCTCTTCGAGAATAAGATTATAAAAGAGTTATTTACGAATAAAATTAATTAGATATTATTCTTAAGAGATAGAGTAAAAGAAAGTCTATTAAATAAGACTTTTCTTAAGACTTAAGAAAAGATAAATAGACTATTAAATTAATTATAACTTTTAAACTTTATTAGTAATAAGAGTAATAATTAGCTAGACGATTAAATTCTTAATATATATATAATAACTAAGAGTTAATCCTTCTATATTTATACTAAATCGACTAGATATTAAAAGCTTTCTATAGTAAATATAATAAGATAAATAATTTCTATAATAGAAGAAGTTATTAAAAACGATTTTTAAAGAATAAATAGCTTTATATAACTTAAAATAAGCGATATAAGATATTATTTAATAGAATTCTCGATTTAGATATATCTTCTTCGTTTTATATAACTCTTATAGTCTATAACTATTAATAAAGAATATTCTAAATCTATTAGAGCTTAATATAATATTTAAGAAAAATTTAAAATATATTAACTTCTTAATTTTCTTTTAAAGTATTAAATACGTTAATATAAAAAGTATAAAGTATTAATAGTTTTAACTATTCTTTAATAAGATATATAAATTAATCTCTTATTATCACGAGCGTACTCTATATTCTTAATATATCACTTAGCCCTTTAATCTATTCGGGCCTAGCGTATCTTAGTAGAGATATTTATCTATTATTTAATATCTTTCTTTTACTTATATAGTTTAATATCTTAGTTATCTTATTTAATATATTTATATTAATATTATATTAATATTAATTCTAATATTATAATTAAAATTAATCTACTTATTTTATTTATATTAACGAATAAACTTAAAGAAATATATTAATAAAGACTTTAATAAGAAATTAAGTTAAGTTATTATATTTCTAAGTAAGCTTATTAGATAGATAAATCGATTTTAAAGAGTTTAAATAAAATAGCGAAACGATTTTAATAAATAGTAATTAAGAAATAAAGAAGATATTAGATTATTTATATAATTAGCGAATCGAAAAAAATAGTTAATATTATCTTATATTTCTATATTTAAAATATATATTAATAGTATTACTTATAACTTTATATATTATAATATCTAAAATTTAAATAAGATCTTAATTAAATAAAAAATAGTCGAGTTATAGTTAATTAAAGATATTATTCTTCGAAGCTTTTCTATATATAACTTCTTTATAAGATAAGAAATTCTCTAAATAAAGTAAATATATTTAAAAGATTACTATTAAATATACTTATAGTCTTCTTAATATCTTAAATAATTAAAAAATAAATATATTAAACTCTTATAAAGAAATAATCTTATCTTAGACTTTATAGTAAAAAAATTTATTCTTAATATTAAATAATTTTAATACGTTTTAGAGAGGCTTTATTATTCTCTAGTATATTTAATATTCTTAATATTTATTCTTTTAAAGTATTTAGATTTCTCTTTACTTTATTTTAAATCTTTCGTTCTTCTTTTCTATAATAAAGTCTAATATTAAAAAAATAGATTAAATTAAGATCTTATTAAAATAAATTAAATATTAATATATATTAATTTTATTAAATAATATTTCTAATAAAGTAAATTTAATAGATATATTTTAGAATATCGCTAATAGTTTATAATTATAATATTAAATTAAGAATTAACTTAACGAATTTATATTTATATTAAATAAGATTTATTAGAAGCGAGATAATTTTTAAGAGATTATTATTTAATATTATATTATTATAATAGAAAAGAACTAAGTAATAAATAATCTATTTTAAATTAATAAATTAATTAAAAAGATAAATTAATTAGTTTAAGACTTTTAGAAGAATATAATTTCTTTATAATAGAAAGTTAATAATCTTAATTTATAGTTAATAAAGAATTTATGATTACTCTTAATTAAGAAAGAACATATATCTAGATATTTAAAAGAAAAATTAATTAAGATTTTAGATCTATCTCTATTTATTAATAATATTAATCTTATTTAAAATAATTAATCTTTTAAAATAAAATAGAAATTTAAGATTAATAGTAATTATTATCTTATTAAGAATTTTAAGATAATTTATATAATTTTATAACTCGATAATAAAATTATATAATATACTATATATAAAAAAATTCGAAACTTTACTAACTTATATTAATCTATTATTAAAATTATAAATAAATTAATTAATATTTATAAAAATTTAAATTAATATAATAATATATAATAAGATATAAATACTTTATAATAAAAGATTTAATTTTTTATCGATTTCTATTTAAACTTTATTTAATTAAGTATTATTTTTAATATTAAGAAAATTCTTATATTAGAAAATTATCTTTTAAAGAAATTAAAAAAAGATTTAAAGAAGTTATAATAGATTATAAAAGATTTTACTATCTTAAAGATTATAAAAGAATATTTTCGAAAATTAAATAATTTATAGCGTATTAAATATAAAGATTTTAAATTTATAAAAATTATTATTAAATTAATTATAATATAAATATTAAGAATAATATTCGTAATTAATATATATATTATATCTATTACTAAAACTAATTTAAATATAATTATTATATTTTTAAATATTAAAATTAATTTAAAGTTAAGAAAGTTAATATATTATAACTATAGTAAAAAAGATTATTATTAAAATAATTATATAATAACTACTTAAATTAAAATTAATAAAAAGATCTTCGAGGAAATATAATTTTACGCGATAAATATAGATAAAGAATTTGAAATTAATAATATTAATATTATAAATAGTAATAGTTTTTTATTAGATTTAGAAAATAAATAGTCTCTTTTAAAGTTATAATAAGAGATACTTATAAAGTATATCTAATAGATACTCTTAATAACGTTCTAGTACGTTATTCTTTTTATATATAAATTACGCTATCTTTATAAGATATAAATTATTTATTTTAAAACTCTCTAATAGATAATAAATATATTAATACTTATATAATTATAAATAAGTTTTTAATTCTAATAATATATAAAGTCTTATATCTAGAATTACTCTTACTATTATAATTTAAATTATTAAGAGATTATAATAACTAGATTATAAAACGACTAATTATATACTATTTACTTTCTATAATAATAATAAAAAACTATTAAAAAGAAATATATTTAATATTAATTATATTATTAAGATATAATATAATAATTAAAAAATTTTAGATAAATAAATATAAGATAATTCTTAATATATTATAAGATAAGATATTTTTCTTACTCGATTAATATAGCTATAATAATAATAAAATATTAATAATAGATAAACTCTTTTTTCTATTAACTTCGAAGCTTTAATTATCTATATTACTTATTTTCTTATTTATTATATTAAAATAATAAAGTCTTTCTTTATCTACTTATAATAACGAGATTAATTCGAATATCTTTTTATTAAATAAGAATAAGAATAGTAAAGAGCTTAAGTTTATTAATATCGCTAAGATTAATATAGCGACTTATTATTAATTAATATATAAAAATAATAATAAACTATTTATATTAATAATAAATAAGATTTATAATATATCGTCTATATTATATACGTCTTTCTTTATCTAAATATCTCGTAAATCTTATATATTAATTAATAAACTATATCTCTACGACTTAGAAAAGAAATATAAAAGATATTATAATTCTAATTATCTTATTTAGATTAATAGCGCTAATATAATTAATTCTAAAAAGATAAAGTATAAATTATTTTCGAAGTATTATAATTATCTAGATATTTTCGATAAAACTAAGATAAATATACTTTTTTTATATTATCTCTATAATTATAAACTAGAATTTAATAATAGCTTTAATAAAACGAAACTCTCGAAAAATAAAGAATCTATTTAAAAAAGTATCTAAATAAATATTTAAAGAAGAAATTTATAATATTAAGCTATATACTATTCGCCTTATTTATTCTATTCGTAAAAATATCGAATAAAGAGTTATATTTTTATATGAACTATCGAAAGCTAAACGCTATTATTAAAAGAAATTAATATTTAATTTTATTAATAGATAAGATTTTAATAAGAATCTAGAGATATAAATATCTTACTTAATTGAATATTATAGCCGCGTTTAATAAACTATATATATATCTCGATAGCGAGAATTTTATTACTTTTATTATCTCTCTTAAAATATATAAATATTAAATTCTCTTCTTCGAATTAATTAATAGTTTAATTATATATTAATAATATATAAATAATATTTTTTTCAAATATCAAAATAATTTCTACTAAGTCTATCTCGATAATATATTTATTTATAATAAAATACAAAATAAATATATCTAATATATTAAATAAATTCTCTAGAAATTAAAGAATATTAATCTCTAAATAAATATTCTTAAATATAAGTTTTATAATTAGAAAATTAAATTTCTAGATCTATTAATATCTATAAACGAGTTATAAATAAACTCTATTAAAATTTAAATTATTATTAAATAAACTATATCTATTAATCTTAAAGAGATATAAATCTTTATCGAACTTTATAATTTCTATTAGCGATTTATTAGAGACTTCTTTAAACTAGTTAAATTTATAATAAAACTTATAATAAAGAAGATTATATTTAATTAATTCTTAATATATTAAAAAGTCTTCTATCTTCTAAAAGTTGCTATTACTAAAACTTTTATTCTATATTATTTTAATAAAATAAAAAAAGTCGTTTTAGAGATTAACTCTTTCGACTATATTAATAAAGATGTTTTTTTTAATATAATAATAAGAGAGTATTTTATCTAATAGCTTTATATAATAAAAATCTAATCTCGACTAAATATAATTATTAGATCTATAATAAAGAACTATTAATAATTATTCGCTATTTAAAATATTAACGCCTTAAACTAAAATATATAAATATCTTTATTAAAATCTTTATTAATTATAAAGAATTAATATATTTTATTAATAGAAAAAATCTTAATCGACGCTAGATTCGATATTTAGATATATTATTAGAATTTAATATAAAGATTATTTATTAATCTAAATCTTAGAATATTAAGACGAATATATTTATATAAATAACTAAATATAAATTAATCAATTTCGAGAATAAATAATTATATTTTAATAATATTAAATAATTCTTATTTTTAATTAATTAAAATTAAATAGCGAATATATCGATATATATATAATTAATAACTTTATCTATTATAAGATAGTAAAAATTAATAAAAAGAATAACTATTATATTAAAATCCGTAATACTATCATCGAAAATAAAAATAAGTTTTAAGAAATTACTCTTAATAAGTACTTCGTATAGAATAAGATACTTTTCTATAAAGATCGTTTATAAATATTCGATAATATATATATTAATATTATTCGAGAGATATATAATTAATTATTCTATAACTATTTCGAGATAATATATATTTATAAATTATTAAAAAGAGAATATTATTAGCGAGAAATAAGGAATTAAAATATATCTATACGAGTAAGCCTATAAATTAAATTCATAATCTATTTTTTTAGCTATCGAGTAAATTTGATAAGCGATCTTTAGTAAGCGATCTTTGATAAGCGATATTTAAATTCTTATCTTTAAAGCATTATAAGTTCAAATTTTAAGATCTTTTTATTTTCGAAAAGCGTAAGCTGCGAGCTATAATTAAAAAAAAATCTAAATATTTTAATAGAAAATAGTAAAGTTATTAAAGGGTTAAAAGTAGAGAAAGAGATTCTAATAGTTATAGACGTTAATCTATTTACTCGTAGTATCTAATTAAAAAGCGTAGATCTATCGAGTATTCGAGTTTATGATTAGATATATATATAAATTTAAGAATTTATAATTTAGCTCTATCTTATTCTTTTATATATATTAATTATTTATTTAATACTTAGATAATTAAAAGCTCGAGTCTTAAATATAAAGAAGTTATTATAAATAAAGTAATAGAGTAATATAATAATAATAGCGATATAATAAAAAAATAAAAAAACGTTTTATTAGCTAGTTATAAAAATATTAAGATAACTAATAGCGATTAAAAAGAAGAAGAAGAAGGATTAAAAGAGTTATAAGGTCTATAGAGATTATATATTAAATAAGAGTCGAATTTAGATAGAGAATCTTTATAGAATAATAGTAAAAGATCGAACGATAGCTATTTTAACGAATTAAAATCATTTAATATTTATCTAAGGGCCTAATTAATTAATTAGAATATAGTAAATATAGTGATAGATTTTATTAGTGCGGTCATTTGGCTATATATAACTATCAAATAACAAGGGAGGTCTGACCTGACGTCACGTGTCATGACATATCCGCATCCCTAGAACCATCGGAATTGGGCTGCTTTGCAGATGCTGTGCCTCGATCTTCATATGATAGGTTCGAGTCGTGAATCATTCTGCTTGCATATACGACCGTTGGGTCAAAGGTGACAGCAGAAAAGACGCATGTGGCATAGAAATATGTACAGCAACCTGGCGTCACACGGTCACATCCTGTCTTCGTCGAGACTCTCTGATGCTGTGCCTCGATCTGCATGCGATAAGTCTGACTCGCAGATCGTCTGCTTGCACACGTGTAACGTCCAGTTAGGTCAGAATTAACAGCACCCCAATCGTACTTCTCGCTCTCCTAGACTCCGAAACATGTTGGACCCTGCATGAGTACCCTGCCGAATTTCCGACAGCACAGACCTCGTGCCTAATTGTCCAATATCTCTGGTGGGGTGAGATCAACATCAAGACTTGGGGATCTACTATCATCAGCTTTGTAATCTCTCGACAGCTGGAATAATACGCTGTATAACAAAGTGTATTGTACCACATGCCTTATCTACCTCTACTCTCATTCCGACTCAAGCTCCTCAATATTTCTGTCTTCATTCCCAAATTGAGCAATCACGGCCATAGCCCTCTTCTCTTCTACCTCCTCTTAGCCCAGTTCGATCGAAAATGAAGGTCTACTATCACGACAACCAGCCTGTAGGTCTCTAAGCTTATATTCAACATGTGCAGGCTGACAACATTTGGCAGGGCGAACCCCACCTCCCACACAACTCAGGCACCGAGCTTTCGCCCACAACCCTCTCAGAGCTTGGGGTTCTTTATTATTCCTTCCCACCATCATCCCCTGATTCTGCCTCCCTTGTCGAAGACGTTGCTACTTCCCGCCATTATACAAATCGAGATGAGATTAGTAGTTCTAAGCTCATTGCGAGCGTCGGTCCCGCAGCCTATGAGCAGGTCTTGAAGACGTTCTTCACCGAGCACATGCACGAAGACGAGGAGATTCGCTACATACTCAAGGGCAGCGGGTATTTCGATGTTCGAGATGCGGATGATAAATGGGTCAGAATCAAAGCTGAGACGGGTGATTTCCTTGTGCTACCTGCTGGAATCTACCATCGATTCACTCTTGAGGAAACTAACGTATGTATTCAATCTTCGTATTGAAAAGAAAAATAGACGGTCGTTTTAAGCTAACGTAATATTTCAGGATATTGATATGATGCGCCTTTATCAGAATGCGCCTAAATGGGCAGCCTTAAATCGGAATGAAGAAACAGAGGCCAATCAGTATCGTAAGGACTACTTGCTCGCAAGAAGTAAGGGGCGCGTGACTTGATTTGCAACTTCTGTGCCATTGCTTGAGCATTATGCAAGAGATCTGAGTAAGCACTAGTAAACCAAGCTTCGAAATCAGGTAGCAAGAACAACCCATACGGATCTTCCCGAACAATACTCCCTATATCTGACTGTGCATGACTGTGACGGGTCTGTTCCATTTCGCCATGCATGCGTTCAGGCTTTCGAGCTCGCCCCGCCATGTTTCACATGACTCAGCTGTGCCGCAGGGGTTTATCTCCAATGCTACCAGACAGAAAAGTCCGGAGGTGGGGGGAGGAGACGGCGTTTTATTACATTAATCTCAAGTTGGCCTCTCCCCAGAGAAAGGGCCACGCCTTTCAATTTTGGATTTGAGCAATACCACGATGGAGTTTCCTACCCCTCGAGTCCCAGGCCTCAACCCCAATGCCAATCGCGGACCAGGGCTTAATACTGTTGCGATTGCTTTTACATGCATCTCGTTTACTACCATCATCTGCCGTGGCTTCTCACGTCTCTACACGGATGTGGAATTTGGTTTAGACGATTGGCTGATAGTACTAGCTGCAGTAATGGTCCTCAACTCTCCTACCGCTGCTCAAAACTGATATCGGCAGTTCTTCTCATGGACTTTCACAGCGCTAGGGATAGCAGCAGTCCAAATGGATTATCTGGGACAACATATCAGCAAGACTGACGTACCTCACCTGGAGAATTTCCTCAAACTAGCTTACGCATCGATTGTTATTTTTCCGATCGCTCTTACGCTCAGCAAGCTTTCTCTCTTGGCGCTATACTGGCGCATTTTCCGTATGACGACAGGTAGACGACCGTTGCAAATTGTTGCGATAATAAATATCGCGTGGATGATTTCTGCCGTAAGTGATCAATACCTGTACAATAGCATGGTCCTAACATGTGCCTATAGGTCATAGTGGGCGTTTTCCTCTGTGTACCTGTCTACGGATTCTGGGAGTTTACCAAACCCAGCAAATGTGTCAATTACCCAGTCATGTTCATTGCAAACGAGACTACTACTCTCATATTTGATCTATTCGTTCTGCTGCTGCCGGTTTACTTCATCTCACAAATCCAACGATCTCTTTCGCAACGGCTTTCGATCAGTAGTACCTTTCTGTTGGGTTTGATGTAGGATCTTAACACCGAAACTTGCGTATGAATAAGCACTGACAACGTTTGAAGAGCAACTGTGATCTCGGCTATACGACTATGGCAGCTCGTGGTTGCTCTAAATCTACCTGGGCTCGACCCAACTTGTATGTTCAACCCCTTGATGCGATGACTTTGCTAACCCGTTCATGAATAGATAACGATACCAACTCTCAGCTGTACGGAGATATCGAGCTTAACATGTGGATTCTTGTTGCTTCTGTCCCAGCTCTGCGCCCTCTCGTTGGGAAAGTCATCAGCAATTCGAGATCGAAGGACAGCAAGTCAACGGGTTCGGGACGCACCTGGTACAAGATATCTTCCTTTTCCAGCCTCAAACCACGTGTCCTTAGTAAGTACAGCCGTTCGTACTCTCACGGCGACGGTCGTATCACCTTAAATGGAATAGATTCTACTGGGGCCCTGTCGACGCCGTTGGAAAACAAATCGCAAGATCCGGGGTCTTGGGCACCGAGGGGTAATGATTCAGTTGAAATCAAACCAACCAGGCCTGCAAGAGGAATCCACGTGCAGAGAGAATTCAACATTCATCAGTCGCAAGATGTCTAATGAGGGCCCTCAGATAATGTGCGCGATATTACTTGCCTGTGCGTGCTGGGAATCAGGGTCATTTAAGCTAGAGCCTGCGTTTCGAACATCCCGGCGGTGCGTAATTTTCTAAATGTATTAGGGAGGTTTTACAACGATACCTTATGGGCGTGCCTGCAAATGCGCACACCGTATTGGACTAGTAGTAGTACCATGTGAAGGACTGAATACCGTTAAAAATTTTGAATACGGTATTGATCAAATACGATGTGAGTTTGATCACTTAACGAAATCGTTCTAATGTTTTCGCTTATTTAGCGTTAAAAAAATCCTATCTTAGCAGATCTTACTTCTCGTCGAGCTCGCTATAAGAAATATTAACGTAAGAAGTATAGGAGATTAGAAAGTCTCGTAAATTTCAAAGAATATAATTTCGATATTATTCTCGTTAATAATAACTACTCTACTATATTTATAAGCTATAAAATCTATTATTTAATTAATATTATTACTAAAACTATTACGTTAATTATTAATTTAATTTATAAGATTTTAAGTCTTAGTAATAACGATTTTAAATACGATTTTTAAAGAATCTTTATACTCTATCTTCTAATAATATTATTCTATAATTACGTTAATTATTAAACTATTTTAATTAATTATCGAAGATCTAAGAAATCTTAATACGCTTAAAATATTAGTTATAGTTATTAGAATCGATATAGATATAATATTAATATAGATATATTAAATAAGATAACTAAGATATCGAATTATATAGATAGAAGAGAGATATTAAATAGTAGATAAATGTCTCTACTAAGACACGCTAGGCCCGAATAGATAAGAGAGCTAAGTGATATATTAAGGATATAGAATACGCTCGTAATACTACTTCTTTCTCTTTATAAAATTATATTTCATAATTAGTAAATAGAAAGATAGAAAAATAGATATATATATACGCTTAACGTCTGAAAAATGATAAAAGTAATATAGAAATAATCGTTTCCGGGAACCGTAGTATTATATCTTTCTCTATAAGAGATATTATAAATAATAATATCTCTTTATATTTACGCTATAGCGATATCGCTAGCTAGAGTATAAATATATATAGAGAGCCTAGTCGAAAGAAAATCGATATAGTATAATAAAAATAATATTTATAGACATAGAGATAATTAATAGTAATTTTCGAATCTATATCTAAGCGAATAAAATATTAATAAAATAATATAATATAATTAATCGAGAGCTTTCGAATCGAATTAAGCTATAAGCGCTAAAAACTCTAATTTAATATTAAGTAAGTTTCTTTATAAAATATTATATAATCGATATTAATAAAGACTATCGACGGCGATAGTAAAATCTATAGATAACGCGCTATAACTTTAAAAGATATTTAGATATCTATTAATAAGAGAACTCTACGCGGGAGACTCTATATAATATAATTTATAATCGATATAAATCTAAGGAATCGATTTTTAAGTCTAAAAAAATGAGGCTAATATCAAGATATTAAACGATTTTAATTTAATTAAAAATAGAATATCTAAAATAGCTCTATTATCTTATAAGTTAATTCTTTATAAATAAGACTTTTCGAGATATTATTTATAGAAGTCGTTTAATAGATCTTAGTAATTTTCGAATTTATCGTTATTTATATTATATTAGATAAGATTATTATCGAGATCTTTTTACTTAACTTTATATTTAAAATTACTATTAATTAATTTAAAAGTAAGTATTTTTTTAATAATTTATTTAATCTAATTATTAATAGTAATATATTTTAATAAAGAATTTATCTATTCTAATAAGAGATTATTTATTATAAGACTTAAGAGATTAAGATAAAAGATATTATAGATTTTTATACTTAGCGAAAGTTCTAGATAATATAAAATTTTTATAAAATCTATAATTTTAAATAAATTAAGTCTCTTATAATTTAATTTATAAGAAGAATAATTAAAGATAATATTATTATTATTTAAAAAGACTTTATTATTTATTTAAAAAGTAATCTTTTATTAATATTTATTAGCTTATATAATTATAGTCTTCTAAACGCGATCTATATTACTTTAAATATACTTAAAAATTTATTTTATATAATTTATAATATTCTTTATTTAAGTAATATTAAGATATTTATAAATAATCTTATAATTAATAATATTTAAATTAAAAATTATTTAAGAATAAAAATTTTTATTTATAAGAAAAGATAAAATATTAATAATTAATAAGATAATATTATTATCGATAAATTTAATAATAAATAATTATTTTATTTAATTATTCTATATATAGTTATAATATATTTAAAGATAACGCTTTATATTCTAATTTATTTATTTAATCTATTAATTAAGTTTAAGATAAAAGATTATTAATAATTTAATTATAATATTTAATCTTTTATAAAAAAAACTTTTATATAATAATTATAAATTAAAGATTTTAATCTAATATTATTAAAACTAATAAATAATATAAATAATATACTTTTTTAAATAATAAATTAACTATTTTTTTAGCGATAATATTTTTATTAATATTAAAATAAATTATATAATAATATTTCTTAATAAATTGATTAATTATTATTTAAATAACGTTATAGCTATTAGATATAAGTAAATTTATAATAAAGCTAATTAATATATCTTATTATTACTTTTATAGAATTAATAGAGATTATAATAAATTATATTCTTAATTATAAGATATTTTAGCTCTTCAATAGATATAGTAATTCTAAATATAGATAATTATAATAATTCTTATATCTCGCTAATAATATTTTCTTTTAAATAATTTATAAATATATACTACTTTAAAATAATTATAGAATAATTAATTATATATCTCTTAAATAATATTAATATATATATTATTAAATATCTATAAATAATTCTTATAATAAAGCACTTCGTTTTATATAAAGTACTTATTAAGAGTAATTTCTTAAAACTTATTCTTATCTTTAACGATAATATTACGAATTTTTATATAATAGTTATTCTTCTTATTAGCTTTTATTATCTTATAATAAATAAAATTATTAATTATATATATATTAATACTTTTATTATTTAACTTTAATTAATTAGAGATAAAAATTATTTAATATTATTAATATAATTATTAAAGAAAGTAAAGATTTTTATTAAGTAAAATCTTTCGCTAAGTAAGATTAAAGTCTTAATAAAAAATTATTTATTTAGAAAATAGATTTTTTATTATAATAATTAATTAAGTTATATTATATTAATTAAATTATTACTTTTAATAAATAATAGTAATATTAAAATTATTTTATTAGTATTATTTCTTTACTTAATAAGTATTAAGAGATCTAATAACTAAGTTTATTATTCTCTAATAAGTATTAATTAGAAAATATTATAATTCTTTAATAAAGTCTTTTATTACGCTATAAAAATAGTTTTATTATATATACTTTCGAAGTAATTACTTTCTTTTCTTATAACTTTTCTTTTTTAAGAACTTCTCTAATCGCCTATCTAACGATATCGTTAATTTACTTTATATTAAAGTCGTTAAGCTTTTATTATCTATTAAGAAGTTTCTTTTAAATTAAAGTTCTTTCTAGATTAACAATCTCGCTATATCTTTCTTCTTAAGAAAGAAATCTCTTCTAAAAAAGAAGTTTTTCTTAAAAAATTTAAATCTTAAACTTATCTAATTCTTACTTCTTTATCTATTTTTATAATTATTAATATTATTAATTAATCTTTATAATAGCTTCTTTAAGATTCTTAATCTTTATAGTAAATTTTATATCTAGAGATATAGTAATTCTTATATTCTAGCTTTCGAAATTTCTCGAAAGTAATTACTCTTTTATAAGTCTTTTTAATAAGAATACTCGTTATTTAATTACTTAAATTATTAGAAATAACTTTAAATCTTTTTAAATTAGTCGAGATATCTCTATGAGAAATAAATATATTAGAGTATAATTATAGTTTATAAAAGTATTAAGCTAGCTATATAACTAAATTATCGATAAATCTACTCTTTAAGATATTTTTAATATCCTCGAAAGAAATACTCTAATATTTTATCGATTTAAAGATTCTTTATTTATTAATATTACTTTATATACTTTCTCTATAATTATCTCTTTTAAATTAAACTTTAAAAATATTAAATTTATTATTAGAGCCATATCTACAAAAGAGACTATTTATACTTACTCTATCGAATCTAAAATATCTTCTTAAAAAGATTAATCTTAAAGAGAGTTCGAATTCTCTTAATAATAATAAATTATATTATAAGAATTACTTTAAAATATTACTTTTTAATCTAAATTATTAAATTTATTAAATAATCTTAGCTCTCTAGAAAATAACGTTATAGAAAATAAAGATAACTCGTTATATTTAAAGATTAATAATATTAATTTCTTTAATTCTATCTTTAAAAAAGAAGAACCTATTATTAATATAGGCCAATATACTTTTTATAAGAATATCTATATCTTTATAAATTAATTTAAAAATATCGTTACTATTAAAGAGCTATAAAAAGATTTAGCAAATTTTATTAACGTATTTCCGCGATAAAACCTTAATCTAACACTTTATTAAGCTTATAAAATTTAAAAAAATACTATTAAGAATAATCTCATTAGAAGCTTAATTCAAATTTTTAATAAAGCGATTTAAGAAAAAAGCTTTTATAATAATCTAGTATTTTTAAATTAAACGCTATACTATAAGTAATACTAAAAATAATAAATTAACGTATTCTTATATTTAAAGTATCTTAAGATATATAAAGACTATCGAGTTTATCTTTATCTATAATTAACTAATTATAATTTAAAATAATCTTTTATTAAAATTTTAATAAGATATTTCTAAATCAACTTCGTTAATTATTTTAGATTAATTTCTAGATTAAATTAATATTAAGTTAAGTATTTAATTTAAAATAATATAGTGAAATCGTAATCTTTTATAATATATTAATAAAAAAGTATTAATATTATTTAAGTAGTCTAGTTAATATATAAATAATAACTTTTATTAAAGTAAATTTTTAAAATTATCTTTTTCTTCTTTCCCATACTCTTAATAGTAGTTCTATTAAGAATTCTTATTAAGATATAATAATTATAAAAATAACTTTATTAATTAATCTAATTAGTTCTATTAATAATAATAATTAAATTCTATCTTATTAACTTCTTATTAATCTCTATAAATTATAAAAGAAAATATTAACTCATTTAATTCTTAAATATTATTAAATTAGTAGAATTCTTATTATAAAGATAATAAATTCAAAAGGTAAGTAAATAGATTAAATATCGGATTCTTTAATTATAATTAAAATAGATTACTATAATTATAGAGAATAGTATATTAAGCTAGTAAGAAAGAATTATTATTATCTTCTTATAACGATATCGAATCTAAATTTATATTTTAGAATAAAAATATTTATTAGGATTTAAGCGAGTCTAGCAATTACTATATTAATAAGAATTTAAATTATTATTAATCTTATTAGAAAGATAAAATAGATAAATACTTTATAGAAGTTATAAAGTATCTTACTAATATAGTTAAAATTATTTCTATTCTAATAACTCGCTATTAATATTACTATTATTATAAGATTTTCCTCTTTAATAATAAACTTTATCGCTATCTCGATAATTTAGATTAAAATTATTATTATAAATCTTTCTTATATCTAAGCTTTTTATTTAAAAAATAATTAGAAATTTCTTTTATAATTTAAATATATTCTTCTATCGAGAAATCGCCTAGAGATTCTTATTTTTTTATTAAGAAATCTTTTATTAGAGAGTCTCGCGAGCTTAATTCTAAAGAATAAGGTTTTATTAGAAAAGTTATTAAGTTATTAATTAACTCTACTTCTAAAATTAATATCGACTATACTTTTTATAACTATTACTATATAAGAGTTATTATTAAACTACTATTTAATAAAAAAGTTAAAAAGAATTACTTAAATATAAATTACTTCGTTATTCTAATAAACTAAATTTATTTAAATAAAGTATTTTTAAATTTATTAGTTAAGAATATAGCTAGCTCTATTATAATAAGAGATTTAGAATCTAATAGATATAAAACTTCGAAATATATAATTATATCTCTTTATTTTTTTAGTAAAAACGCTATAGCTATAACGTTACTAAAAGAAATCTATATTATTAATAAGCTTAAAATAAATATTCTAGTCGATATAGATATTATAATATCTAAAGGGATCGATATTCTAGGGCCTCATTCAAGCCTTCCTTCACGCTGACGTGTGCAAAGCGGCCAGCGGCTACCGAGTACACATGGAAGCAGTGCATCATGTGGTTATGGCCATTGACGTCCTTATCCTCCTTGGCCGGGGTAGTATGCATGTGGGCTAGTTTGGCGAAATTTTTGGTCTTGAAGGTCCCGAAGAAGATTTGTTTGAAGTACTTGACGTCCACACTTCGGAACCTTTCAGCAATACTAAGAAAGGGCTTCTTACCTTCCGTATGACGAAAGGGGACCCCTCTTCTTTCCTCCCAGTCCGATTTAGAGTCGGATGAGTCCGAATCCGATGTGTCCGAGTGACGATGACGATGACTGCGGCTGTGGCGGCGGTGGTGGCGGCGTGACTTATGAACCCTGCCCTCGTGAGGATGGCGATTGTTTCGCTCCTCTTGGACCTTGGATAGCTGGGCTATCAATTCTTGAAGATCTACTTTGGCAGCAGGTGGGGGCGTTTCATCCACCTGGTCCGGGCTCATGGTACCCGATGACGTGTCGTGTACGAGGATGTCCTCGCGGGGGGGAGGTGTTTTGGCCTTGGTGGCCTTGGGAGCCTTTTTGGCCTTGGGGGCCTTGTTGGCCTTGTTGGCTGCGTTGGAGGTCTTTTTGGTGACTTTGGAGGCGGGGGTGACACGTTTGGCCGCTTTTTTGGACCTGGTAGCAGCGGCGGGGGCCATTACGAAATATGTAAGAGTATGGAGTGTGTTTGTGGTAGTTGGATAGTGCTTGTGGTAGTTGAATGAAGGCTAATTTGTATAGACTCAACTACGAAAGAAGAAGAAAAATGATATGGCTCTGAAAGAGACGAAATCGAATGAAGAGCCGTTGACAGGTGCAAAACAGGTGGCTATATAGCTCGTACTAAACACCTGTCCCCAACCCCTTGCCGGGGTACCAACAGGGGTACCAACAAGGGTACCAACAGGGGCGAACGGCTGATCAAACAGCCACCAACGCTATGGCCTCATAATGGACCCACTAACCCACAGTCCCACTGTTGCGAAATATAAAATTTTTATAAAATCTATAATTTTAAATAAATTAAGTCTCTTATAATTTAATTTATAAGAAGAATAATTAAAGATAATATTCTTATTACTTAGAAAGACTTTATTATTTATTTAAAAAGTAATTTTTTATTAATATTTATTAGTTTATATAATTATAGTCTTCTAAACGCGATCTATATTACTTTAAATATACTTAAAAACTTATTTTATATAATTCGTAATATTCTTTATTTAAGTAATATTAAGATATTTATAAATAATTTTATAATTAATAATATTTAAGTTAAATATTATTTAAGAATAAAAATTTTTATTAATAAGAAAAGATAGAATATTAGTAATTAATAAAATAGTATTATTATCGATAAATTTAATATTAGATAATTATGTTATCTAATCGTTTTATATATATTTATAATATATTTAAAAATAACGCTTTATATTCTAATTTACTCGCTTAATTTATTTATTAATTTTAAAATAAAAGATTATTAATAACTTAACTATAATATCTAATTTCTTATAAAAAAAACTTTTATATAATAATTATAAATTAAAGATTTTAATCTAATATTATTAAGACTAATAAATAATATAAATAATATATTTCTTTAAATAGTAAATTAACTATTTTTTTAATAATAGTATTTTTATTAATATTAAAATAAATTATATAATAATATTTCTTAATAAATTAATTAATTACTATTTAAATAGCGTTATAGCTATTAAATATAAGTAAGTCTATTATAAAGTTAATTAATATATTTTATTATCGTTTCTATAGAATTAATAAAGATTATAATAAATTATATTCTCGATTATAAGATATCTTAATTCTTTATAAATATAGTAATTTTAAATATAAGTAATTATAATAGTTCTTATATCTCGCTAATAATACTCTCTTTTAAATAGTTTATAAATATATATTATCTTAAAATAATTATAGAATAATTAATTATATATCTCTTAAATAATATTAATATATATATTATTAGATATCTATAAATGATTCTTATAATAAAGTACTTCGTTCTATATAAAATACTTATTAAAAGTAATTTCTTAAAACTTATTTTTACTTTTAATAATAATATTACGAATTTTTATATAATATTTATTCTTCTTATTAGCTTTTACTATTTTATAATAAATAAAATTATTAATTATATATATATTAATATTTTTATTATTTAACTTTAATTAATTAGAAATAAAAATTATTTAATATTATTAATATAATTATTAAGAAAAGTAAAGGCTTTTATTAAATAAGATCTTTCGCTAAATAAAATTAAGATCTTAATAAAAAATTACTTATTTAGAAAATAAATTCTTTATTATAATAATTAATTAAGTTATATTATATTAATTAGATTATTACTTCTAATAAATAATAGTAATATTAAAATCGTCTTATTAGTGTTATTTCTTTACTTAATAAGTATTAAGAGCTTTAATAATTAAGTCTATCTTTTTCTAATAAGTATTAATTAAAAAATATTATAATTCTTTAATAAAGTCTTTTACTACGTTATAAGAATAATTTTATTATATATACTTTCGAAGTAATTACTTTCTTTTCTTATAATCTTTCTTTTCTAAAAACTTCTTCGATTATCTATTTAACGATATTATTAATCTATTTTATATTAAAATTGCCGAGCTTTTACTATCTATTAAGAAGTTTTTTTTAAATTAAAGTTCTTTCTAGATTAATAATCTCGCTATATCTTTCTTCTTAAGAAAGAAATCTCTCTTAAAAAAAAAGCTTTCCCTTAAAAAATTTAAATCTTAAACTTATCTAATTCTTACTTCTTTATCTATTTTTATAATTATTAATATTATTAATTAATCTTTATAATAGCTTCTTTAAGATTCTTAATCTCTATAATAAATTCTATTTCTAGAAATATTATAATTCTTATATTCTAGCTTTCGAAATTTCTCGAAAGTAATTACTCTTTTATAAGTCTTTTTAATAAGAATATTTATTATTTAATTACTTAAATTATTAGAAGTAACTTTAGATCTTTTTAAATTAATTAAGATATTTTTATAAGAGATAAATATACTAGAGTATAATTATAGTTTATAGAAGTATTAAGCTAGTCTTATAACTAGGCCGTTAATAAGGCTACTCTTTAAGATATTTTTAATATCTTCGAAAGAAATATTTTAATATTTTATTAATTTAAAGATTTTTTATTTATTAATATTACTCTATATACTTTCTCTATAATTATCTCTTTCGAATTAAATTTCGAAAATATTAAATTTATTACTAGAGCTACGTCTATAAAAGAGATTATTTATACTTACTCTATCAAATCTAAAATATCTTTTTAAAAAGATTAATCTTAGAGAGAGTTTAGATTCTCTTAATAATAATAGATTATATTATAAAGATTACTTCGAAATATTACTTTTTAACTTAAATTATTAAATTTATTAAATAATTTTAGCCCTCTAGAAAATAACGCTATAAAAAACGAAGATAATTCTTTATATCTAAAGGCTAATAATATTAATTTCTTTAATTCTACCTTTAAAAAAGAAAGATCTATTATTAATATAAATTAATATACTTTTTATAAGAATATTTATATCTTTATAAACCAACTTAAGAATATCGTTACTATTAAGAGCTATAAAAAGATTTAGCAAATTTTATTAATATATTTCCGCGATAAAACCTTAATCTAACACTTTATTAAGCTTATAAAATTTAAAAAAATACTATTAAGAATAATCTCATTAGAAGCTTAATTTAAATTTTTAATAAAGCGATTTAAGAAAAGAGCTTTTATAGTAATCTAGTATTTTTAAATTAAACGCTATACTATAAGTAATATTAGAAATAATAAATTAGCGTATTCTTATATTTAAAGTATCTTAAAATATATAAAAATTGCTAAGTTTATTTCTATTTATAATTAACTAATCGTAATTTAAAATAACCTTTTATTAAAATTTCGATAAGATATTTCTAAATTAATATTATTAATAATTCTAAATTAATTTTTAAATTAAGTTAACGCTAAGTTAAATATTTAATTTAAAATAATATAATAAAATTATAATTTTTTATAGTATATTAATAAGAAAGTATTAATACTATTTAAGTAGCCTAGTTAGTATATAAATAATAACTTTTATTAAAGTAAATTTTTAAAATTATCTTTTTCTTCTTTCTTATACTCTTAGTAGTAATTCTATTAAGAATTTTCGCTAAAATATAATAATTATAAGAATAATTTTATTAATTAATTTAATTAATTTTATTAGTAATAATAATTAAATTCTATCTTATTAATTCTCTAATAATCTCTATAAATTATAAAAGAAAATATTAACTCATTTAATTCTTAAATATTATTAAGCTAGTAGAATCCTCGCTATAAAGATAACAAATTCGAAAGATAAGTAAATAAATTAAACGCCAAATTCTTTAATTATAATTAAAATAGATTACTATAATTATAGAAGATAGTATATTAAATTAATAAGAAAAAATTATTACTATCTTCTCACGACGATATTAAATCTAAATCTATATCTTAAAATAAAAACGCTTATTAGAACTTAAGCGAGTCTAATAACTACTATATTAATAAGAATTTAAATTATTATTAATCTTATTAGAAAGATAAAATAGATAAATACTTTATAGAAGTTATAAAGTATCTTACTAATATAACTAAGATTATTTCTATTCTAATAACTCGCTATTAATATTATTATTATTATAAAATTTTCTTTTTTAATAATAAACTTTATTACTATCTCAATAATTTAGATTAAAATTATTATTCTAACCCTTTTTTATATTTAGACTTTTTATTTAAAAAATAATTAGAAATTTCTTTTATAATCTAGATATATTCTTCTATCGAGAAATCGCCTAGAGATTCTTATTTTTTTATCGAGAAATCTTTTATTAAAAAACCTCGCGAGTCTAATCTCGAAAAATAAGGTTTTATTAGAAAAGTTATTAAATTATTAATTAATTCTACTTCTAAAATTGATATTAATTATACTTTCTATAACTATTACTATATAAGAGTTATTATTAAACTACTATTTAATAAAAAAGCTAAAAAGAATTACTTAAATATAAATTACTTCGTTATTCTAATAAACTAAATTTATTTAAATAAAGTATTTTTAAATCTATTAATTAAAAATATAGCTAGCTCTATTATAATAAGAGATTTAGAATCTAATAAATATAAAACTTCGAAATATATAATTATATCTCTTTATTTTTTTAGTAAAAATACTATAGCTATAACGTTATCGAGGGAAATCTATATTATTAACGAGTTTAAAATAAATATTCTAGTCGATATAGATATTATAATATCTAAAAAGATCGATATTCTTATTTTTTAATTAAAGGCATTAATTAATAACTATTAGATATTTATATTAATAGAAATTCACATTAGAGAAGATCGTATAATTATATATCTTATATATATTAAGAAATTCATTATTATTTCTCTATATTCTCAAATATAAATATTAATATATTATACTTCTTTATTAAAATATAATTTTTTCTTCGAGCTAAATTATATAGATCTAACGCTTTATACTTATCTTATTAATTTCTCTATAACCGCGATACTAGTTAAGAATAACTTAAATTGATTAATTAA